CTGGGCACTGCTGGCTCATGTTCAGCTGATGTCACCAGCACCCCCAAGTCCTTCTCTGCTGGGCAGCTTTCCAGCCCCTCTTCCCCCAGCCTGTAGCACTGCCTGGGGCTGTTTAACCAGAACATAGGACCTGGGACTTGGCCTAACAAGGCCTCACACAACATTTTCTCCTACAGAAGTCTCACATTTATAAACAATCTGTAATTTTCTGGTGGAAAACATGATTTCTGCAAAACTGATGTTTGTTGTGTGAAAATTCTGATCCTGTTAAAGAACACCCAACAGCTGCTGTTTGGAAAATAGAAAGGTTTTTTCCTATTGTCCTGGAGTCCTAGCTTTCTCTTTCATTGTCAGAAGTGTACTTCATGTGAAACATGGCCTCCTGTGAACCAGGCCATGGAGTACTGCATAATTTGAGTACATGCTCCTTCTCCCCTCTTCCCACTACTTTGGATAGAAGAGGAGAACTGGGTAAAATGCTGTGTCAGTCTTCATTGAAAACAACCACAGGAACACTGAACTATGTCCTTAGAAAGAAAGGCATGTACAGTTGGTCCAGTACTGTGGCCCTTAATTCCCTAGCTTCCTTGCTTGGCTGGACTGCAGACTAAATAAAGAGATGCAGCTCCCCTGAAATTCTTAGAAAAGAACATGAGTAGAACCAGTATATTCTTCCTCCCTAATTTCACCTATAATTTTTTCCCCTAGTTTCTGTGCAGTATCTGGAATTGAGCATCAGGGGCAGGCAAGAGGTGGGGGAGAACCAAAAACAGCCCTCATGGAAAAAAGTGAAAAAAACCCAACATCACACACACACACACACACACACACACACACAAATTCCAAAACAAAACACACACACAAATTCCAAACATTAAACCCAAAATCCCACACCCAAAACCCCACATCACCATTTGTATCCTCCTACTATAAAATAGCTCTTTTGCAGGTGAGGACATAGAGCTTCCCGTGGAGCTCCAAGGTAGGACAATTAACTTGCTGAACAGCTAACAGCTGCTTCTGATACATTAGCATTCTTGCAATGTAGGAATGAGTGTGATTTGTACGATTTGCAAATTTAGCATTTGCCAATTCTTTCAGAACCCTGCCCTTACTATTCTTGCATCAGATAAACACAGAAAATACTCTTTCCCAGTTAATAAGGGTTTGCAGTCACAGCAGAATTTACATATATTGCTTTTTTTGCATTTATGGCATTATTGCAGTCAATATTCTGATTATCACTCCATATTTAATTTTAAATTGCAATTTCAATTATGTTTGTCTTGATTAAGTTACAGTGTATCTGAATTTAATTTTATCTCATTTTCTGCGAGGCTGACAGATATGGTATTAGTGGATTGTTCCCAAGGATAAAATTTAAATTTAAGATTGTTTGGGTGTGCAGTGTTCATCCCACAGCTACCAATATACACTGCTGTCTATTAGAAGTATGACATTGGTGCACTTCATTTTGCTGCACAGTGCCTTCATGTGCAAACTCATGTAGAGAGCTAGTGTCTGATGTTGACCTAGAACAGCTAACTATTCACAAAATACTATTTGATTTGCTAACTTTTGCTAATAACTGCATCCACATTATTCATTTTTAGCTGTTAAGACTTTCACAGTGGGCTTTGATGGTCAGTTATCACTTAAATATATCACAATATGCTAACCTGCTGTTCAGTTCATGAAATGATGACAAAGCTTAGATTAAGGCCACCTTGGAAAAGGGAAAAACAAAAGGTTTTTTAGAACACCAGGCTGAACATCGCACATTAAAATATTCCCTATTTTCTCCTTAAAATATGGGATTTGTAAAAGAGAAAACAACTACACTACAGCAGACATGTGAACTCATCTTTTATTCCACCAGAATCCATAATTCAGCTGATAAACATGGTGAAGTGCTAGTTCTGTGTATCTCAAAAAGTTAGATTATAATACAGTAATGTATTACACATTATATTCTACAGTGCTGAACTGGTAAATCACAGAGCAGAAGTTACCAGCAACTCCAAATTCTTAAGTTAATTTTAATATATCTCTTTTAGTTTCAGAGATCTACAGAGGTTTAGCAGGAAATAAAAAAATCTATTACTGCCCTTACATTATCTATACATATTGCACCCAAAAAAAAAAAAAAAAAAAAAAAAAAAAAAAAATCTATTCCTTACTGGAACTAGAAATTGTTCATCTAACCTCAAATACAATATGCTTCAATGGTCCATTAATTTTCTTTACTGAGAAATTTATTTCCCTAAAATGAACTCTGAGGCTCGGTGCCAATAGTTATGTGTGAGGCTGCTTAAATTCAGATTACAAAGTAGCTTTCAATTTTGAGTAAAATAGACTAGTTTCTCTTACTGATATTTTCACAGAACCTCTCTTACCTAGGACTAGCATGTATTTGTCTTAGCAACCTAATGCACTTTATTAAAGCACTAATACAGATTTACTTATAAGCTACAGTAAACATCTATATACACATATTTACAAATATATGGTTTGATACAAAGAAATAAAAATTTGCACAATTACTAAGAAAGAGAAAAAAAATCTCATACTAATAAATCAAAATCTGTCACAGAAAAAATGGAAGCTAGACCAGATACAAAACAAAACAGCTTTATCATTGGTGCTCAAATATTTTCCATTCTAAAGGTTCACTATGCTCTGAAAATGTGAGGCACTTTTAGAAAGAATAAACAGCACTATTAAATCTACTGAAATATCATGATTTTTCAGCAGAATTACAGATTTTTTTACTTAGGAAAAGTACAGTTCATAAAAAAAATGTTCGATGTTTCTATAATTTAAATCATTTGAAAGAACAGTTAGCAGCAGAAACAGATTTTCTTTTTTAATTTTACATTGGCCCCTTTTTTTTAAACTCAGTAATAGAATTTTTTTAATATGAAAGTTAAGTATAGTGTGTTTTATTTTCATATCTAGACTGATGCCTGAGATCTTGGGAAGCTTTCATAAGAAGCTAAAAATTCTGCAGCCTATTATCACTACAGATGTGACAGATTCAGAAATTATTCATATAGTCAGAGCTTGAAAGCACAAAATCTCCAGGAAATTTTACAGGGTAGAAGACAAGTAGTCATTAAATCCTTGCTTCACTCACACCACAATACAACATTAAAAAAATACAAGAACCTCTATGATGCTGCTAGCCAAAAGGCTTGCCAGCATTTAATACTTTGCCAATGAGAGATAAGAAAGGTCAGGCTGTATTCCATTAAAAAAAACAATTAGAAATTTTATAACTATAAAATTCGGGTTATTATAGCACAGCTGTAATTTGCTTTTCATTAAAACAGTCTTTGACTATGCTTTTTAAAATATGAACTTACTGCAACAGGGACTCTTACAATCATTATATCAGCCTATTTTTCTTATTAAAATAATGAGTAATACCCCCTTGTACTAAGGAATGGAAAAAATTAGATAATTTGCTCAGTTAAGAAACACTGAGATTCCTTTAGGATGAAGCTCAAATTTTTATTTCTCATTAACACTTGCTGGCTTGCCATGTATTTCTCCATAGTATAGCACAATTGCAGATCAGAGGATCACTCTCTCTACTGTGGTGTTGCCACAACAGCAGCATTTTGTGTAAAGCACAGTTGGATGAAACAAAGTATTTTAACAGACTATAATGCTAAAAATTAGCAACTTGACTTCTTCTAGTAGTCATAGCCAAGGGACAGAATTTATTTTTCTCTCACTTGATCACATCCTTTAAGATCTCTTGTAGCTTACCGTGGCTATTCTTCTCTTGGTTGAGCTTTGAGAACCATTACATAGGTTCTCAAACACTCAATTGTTTGGTGTTCTGTAGGACAGCATAATAATTCCACAAAAGCAGCCTTAAGGCCTAGTGAGAAAATAAAGAAAAGCAAGAAGGAGAAAAGATAATCATGTATAATCAGAATTTCTGTTCCATCTGTGCTGCAGGCTGCATAGGCTCTGCTGGATCAGGCAGAAGATGTAGAGGATACCAGGTGCAGCACTGAGGGATTGAATTTTATCAGTCATCTATGAAAGCTTTTCTGCCTAAAGAGATTTGAAATAGGGCAGGTTAGGGAACAGATGAAAATGAAATGAAAACTGCACCAGAGTAGTGGTGCAGTGGTGGGATATTTGTGGTATTGGGTGGGAGTTTTGTTTTGTTCTTTCATGTTTGGTTGATTTTTGTTTTGGTTTTAATTTTTGTTTTCTCTCATCCAATTCCCAGCTGGTCTTTGTATATGTGTAAGAGCAACTAAGGGAAAACTTCTCTCTAAGTGATGCTTCTAACTCACTTTTATTTAAGTCATACATTCAAAAACTTTCCTCCTTGGTGTTCATGCTACTCTGTAATTTAAATTAAATCACCTACTCAGCAAAGCTCAGCATATACCTCACTGCATTACTTTGTAGTTCCAGGCTTGACCAGCATGGTCTGAAAAGTAGAGATGTTCTGACCTCCTCCTAGGGACTCAGGCCAGCAAAAAAACCAAACCAACCTTCCACATACCTCTTGTGTCTGTAGCAACAGATTGGTTGGTAGCAACCAATTTGAAGTCCTGAAAAGGGGCATATTTATGAACTCTGCAAATCTGGGGTCTGTGTTCACAGAGGATGTAAGTGTCCTATTGTATATAACCACTGACCATCACTCATGATATTTCATCCATAAAGAAAAAAAAAAAACAAAACAAAACAGCAAACTACTGGCCCAGGGCAAGGAAGAACAGTATTTTTATCAAATTTCCCTCTTAAGTCTTTATTATAGCTCTGTTGGATGCGACATTTCAGGTAGAAAGTCTTTTTGAAAGGTAACAACTCTGCTTTGATTTCATGGCAGTGATACCGTCTTAAGAAGCCACTATAGATGAAGACTGCAAATTGTATCAGACAGCTTTTATGCTTTTTCTTCAAAAATTAGAGTCCAGTCTAGGATTTGTGACAGTGACAGAAGTAAGGTTTTCTATCGCATAAAAGAAAATCTTACTCCTGACCAGTTTTTTCAGTAATAGCTATGATTTTGATGCACTTCTACCTTAAAAAAAGTGTGACAAAGTGACCTGTCACTTTAAAATAGGGCTGGGGGAGGAGATGAGAAAGAGAAAACTAGTAGTCAACATACTGCTATTCTAATCATCTTTTAAGAACTCCATGAGCTGCAGAGTACATGGGCTTTTCCACTTGAAAAAATTGACTACCTTTAAAATCACCAATTTCCCAGAAAGACATATACAAGAGAGTAAATCAGACCACAAGCCTTTAGAACAATTTCTTTTCAGACAAAGTGAAAGCTGAAAGGCTGGATAAATGGCATTTCACTGAAGTTATAACATGATAGCCAAGAAAAGGTGTTGATTTTCTATACAGTAAAATCCAATTGGCAAGGACAGAAAGCACCAGGTTTCCCAGGCTGAGAAGAGATATGCCTGGTTATCTAAAGTCATTACATCTGGCAGCTCCAGCAGAGGCAGAATGGGAAGTTATCCATTACGTTCTGAGGTTGTGTTTGCTCTTTCTGAGGAGGGCTAGGCCTTTCTGGATTGGGGGGGGCAGATCTTTCAGGGTGAAGGGAGGGAATAATCAGGAAGGAATATCAGAAGGATATCTTCAGTGCTATGCAATGCTATTTGGCTGTAACTTCTTACTTTACAAAAGTAAACTTCTGGTCAGTCAATCAGTATGAAAATACAAAAAGTCCTTCTTGTTTCTTCCCTAGGACTACACCCTGACCATGTACTTTCAGCAGTCCTGGAGAGATAAAAGGCTCTCTTATTCTGGAATACCTTTGAATTTAACTCTGGACAACCGAGTGGCTGACCAGCTCTGGGTGCCGGACACGTATTTCCAAAATGACAAGAAATCATTTGTTCATGGGGTGACAGTGAAAAACCGAATGATTCGACTCCATCCAGATGGGACAGTCCTTTATGGCCTACGGTATGCTGGGTGTTTTGATCTGTCAGTGCTGGCAGAAGTGCTGGTAGAACCAGTGCCACTTTCCTATACTGTTTTCCTGGTTTCTCACGTATGAGTCAGCGTGTACTCCATTTAGTCAGCCACAACACACCCAAGGATTTTCCACAGAGCAGCAACACTACCTTTAACTTCTGAGTGTGTTAAAACTCTTAAAGGGTTCTTTATTATGGTTTTCACCTGGTAATCAATCACAGCTTACACAAACCCTTCCTTCTAAAATTTCTCCAGAAGCACTTTAGGACAATGGGAATTAAAAATCCGATTTGAAGAAATAGGATATTTGGTAAAAAGGAGATACTTGTAAATTTGCATAAATTAATTGAATATTATCTATATGCCTGAGTATAGGTTTTCTTTAATTTGCCTTGGTTTATGACTGCTTCACTCCACCACTGCTTCTCCATACAGTGCAAATCGTATTCACCCCTGTAGATAAAAATACATCCTAAAGTTTGAACAGACATGATCTAATGATAAGGTACACAACTGTAAAATTAAAACTAAACCAAGTTATTTTTTATGTTGCTATTGCTGCAGAGCCTGAATAAGCCTTTATCATATTCTTTTTGAAGTTGAGGTAGCTTTGCTTGGAAATAATATTGCCTGCCTGAAACAAACTTTGATCATCATTATCATTCAACAGTGAAAATAATGGTTGGAGAATATAAACCTGAAAGCATAGTTCAGTTAATCAGAAAAGAAGTAATAAAGCATAAAACCTGGCTGAAATACCTCAAAATTGTACCTAAGATAGAACTAGTAAAAAATCACAGACTTCTGCAGCAATTCAAAATGAAAACAATATTTGGGAAAGAATAACTTTGAGCTTAGTGAAAATAGAATTTTAAAATGACCTCTTAGCCTATAAAAACATAATCTTTTAAAACACGGCACTACCCATGCACAGGCAGCCTTCTACCCATCAGTTCAAGCTTCTCAAGAAAAAAAAATTATTTAAAAATTATTAGTTTGGCTAGTTGTGAGTTTGTTTTTGAATTTGTCAGATTCCCAGGCTCTGCATCAGTTGCTACCAACAACCACACAAGAACTTTAATATTAGTACAACCAGATCTGTTCTGGTACAGCAAAACTGTTACTTCAGCTTTAAAAAAGAAAATAAGGGACCCATAGGGAATTAGCTGTTAAACCAAAGGCTGTCATTGACATCTGCTAAACTTGAGCATTTGAAGAGTACATCTTCCTCATTGCCTTCAGAGCTCCTTTCAATCAAACTGACTCCTGCAGGACAGTTTTTAGGAGAGGACTGTTTGGTCTGGTCTGACAAATGGTAAAAAAATTTTTTTTTTGTTTGGTTTGGGTTGGGGTTTTTTTGTTTGTTTGAATATGATTGAATAACCATTTACATTTATTTGAATAGTTAAGCAGCAGTTCTGCAGCTCTGCAAGTTAATACCCTGCTTAATACCTCACTGCTTGTGTAGGAAAACAAAACAAACAGCAAAACAAGGCAGAAAATCCCACACTAGTATAAAGGACACTCTATATTCCATTCATTTGCAATCTGGTTCTGTGCAATTCGCTTCTCCTCCCTCAGCTGCTTCATGCCCTTAATGCACACTGCCACAGGAGCAACCTCCAACTCTCCCACGTTGCTGGGCTTCTCCACCTTCTCCCCCTAGAGAAGGCAGCAGGTCTCAGGGTGCAGCAAGGCCAAGTATTGCCAGATGGGCCCATACTCACTGACAGCATTGCCATCACCAGCCGCATGCAGAAGGGGATGCTGAGCTGCCAGGTGTTTTTCACAGCTCAAGCTGATGTACCATGTTTTCTCCAAGAAAAGGCAGCTGCTCAGACACATCCCGCAGACAGACTTTGGTCTTCAGTTGCGAGTGTCCCCATCCCACATGAAAGCTCTAACCAAAGACAAAAATAGCAAATGAGCAGAAGTAAAAATGAAGTTAAGATACATTATTTTTTTTTTTCCCCATGCAGCAGTTGGCAGTTATTACACAAAACTTGCATCTGCTATGAGTGATCCCTTTCCTCATATAGTAAATATGTTTCTGTCAGCCTATAGGTTACCTTTAACTCATGTAAGCATCCATTTGTTCAGATTCTGGATGACATATATGCCTCATAAGAAACAAAACGTGAGACAACACCGCAGAAAATACTTTTAGGTAAAATTCAGCATTGCCTGTTAGAAATTTGAGCATAGATCCAATCTAGTCTTATAAGCAGTAAAGAAACTCTGCAGCATATTTCCTTGATTTAGCATCTGTGCAGTAAAGAGAATGAAGACAGTGTCACCAAACCTCTCACATGGGTTGTGACCTGCAAGTTTCATTTTCCTTGCTGAAGACAAAGCATTGGCCTAGATGACTTGAACAAGAAAAACAACACCAATTATGCTGCAGCCAGAGTCTGAGTTCCTCACAAATTAGTCAGGGCCTTTAACAATATCTCAAGGATGATTCAGATATTTCCTTTCCCTCATGCGTCCTGTTCCCCAAACAGCTTTTCTGTTTTCAGTCCAGAGTTAATGTTTCCGTTCAGGCTCAGTTATGAAATTTTGCTGGCTTCTTTAAACAGAAATTGGAACAATCATAACAGCTCTAAATAACCTGTTCGCTTGCACCCATGTACACAGCAGTTTGTCATTGATGCAATGTTCAGCCTCAGCAGAGCTGAGGAGAAATAAACCAAGGTTAACCATTTGACTTTACAGATGAATAAACAAGGGAAACGTACATAATAGACTGGAGTGGCTTTAGATCATGTAAGAAAGCATTATCACTTCACTATGTCTCCATTATTGCATTATTTCTATCCTAAACTCAACAATCCCTTTAGCTATTTTTGTCCAGTAACTTTCAGCCGCTGTGTTCCCACAGTTTAAAGAACAATGTGTGCTATAAACTTGTGCAGAGAGAGAATACTCCTAAACCTTCTGACCTCCAAAATTGTACACTGTTGTTATGTTTATTGCTTCAAAAGGCAGTTCTGTTAATTGTTCACAGTAGTAAAAAATGTGTGACATTACTAAGCAAATAACTCTTTCATGCTTTTTACCCAAAAACTACACACACAAACTAATTTAACTCCATGATACTATTTCAACTGTATTTAATTTCAAATATACCAGGGGAGTGTCATTGTTAATTATTATCTACCTGAAGATCATGTTTCTTCAGTTTCTGTCAAATACCCCCACCAGCAGCTATTATCATTTTCTGTGGTATAGCCACCTGCTTCCTAAAAGAAAAAAAATCCTTTGGGTCAGTGTGCAAACATGCAGCACTATGAGGCTTGTGTATGAGACAGTGCCAGCCTGGTGCCAGAACAGCCGGTAAAATACTGAATTTTTTTTTTTTTTTTTTTTTTTTCCCTTACCCAATTTTAACAAGTAATTGGATGCCATTAGCTCTAACAATTCTGCCACTAGCAGTGTCTCCCATTATCTTTATTGCCTGTTCAGGCAAGATTCTCTAGAAATCTCTCCCAAAGCTCCAGAATCTTAAAAATATACATACTGTTGCTTCTTTTGCTTCTCCTCTCTCTGCCTTTCCCAAGTAGATGCTAGACATGTAATGTGTCTTTGAGATATTTAAGGAACCATTAATAATTCATTGTATTGAATTCTGTATTCATATTCGTATGTCATGGTGTCAGGAATGGAAGCTCTGATTTAAATCATCCTTTCCTAGTATTTTATGCCTTTGAATTCTTTATGTCCTTTGTCCTCTTAATTCTTCTCAGATTTTCACAAGCAGAAAAATGACACCATGTTGTTTTGGAGACATCTGTTCTTTTATCATGACATTGCCTCACAATAAACAACAGCAGAATTTCACGTGTATTGGAAGAAGCATGTCTTCAAGAAGAGTTAGTTGTTAAGAAGTGTAACACACCTTCAGCAACACCCTTACACAGCAACACAACATCTCTTCTGATGATCAGATACAAACCCACCTTTGATTAGAGCAGTTCAGTGGTTTCAGTGAGACCACACATTTTTATACTCGTGCAGAAGAGGATCCCGCTTCTCTAGGCACTGCTACAATTGCAAGGGGAGAATAATCTTTGTCTTCAACATAAGGATTTTTTTTACCACTTCTTACGCAAAGTTTTCTGTGATGCAAACACTGGCAGACAAATTCACTTACCTTCCACCAATTCACAAACAAGAATTGATCCATTTAAGAGTGGATTTGCTAACCATTTATTCATGCAATATCAATGGAAGCATATCCTAGAGGTGGAATGCCAGAAAAGCTGTATTTAAATGCAGAATGTTTAGTTTTTAGTATGATCTTGAAAGTAAATTTAAGTGGAGACTTAACTTTTTACTATCTCAATTTTGGCAATGTAGCTGAGGGTGTTATTAAAGAAATTCACTATACAGTTGTTTAATTCTTTTATTGCAGTGAAATTTTAACAGTTTGTGGATTGCTTTTGCATTGCCATGATTTGGGACTATGGAATTTTGGCTTTCCTCTAAACACCTTCCTGGATTTCCTTAAAGAGTCAGTTATTGAGTCCTTTTGAGGACAACTCATCATGGCAACAAGTAGCCGATTTACACTGGTACTCAATAGATTGTCCTACTTGCGTTACTAAACAGGTCAGCCAAAAAACAGACTACAGTTCTTCTAAATGAGAAAAAGCTGTGCCATCTAGATAGTGAAATAAAAAACTACACTTTATTTCACTACAGAAAAAATACAGAGCAAATTATAAAGCAGTGTTTTATTAGATTATAATTTTGAAAATCCTACAAAAAATATTTTTTTCCATGCATCAATGGGAAAAGATTTAGCAGTGAGCATTTGAAGACTCACTAGAACCAATTTGGGACTGACTCCCTTTATATTTTTAAACCCTAAAAATATACAAGAACTTCGCAAAAATAAATCAATAAATTATTCATCATTTCTTCCACTTCCCAAAACATTTCCATTTTGGAGGGTCAGTTTTCACTAGTAAGGGGTAGGGATGAGGGGAGAAGTTCAGATGCACATTGTGGATGCATGTTCAGACTGCAACAGATCACACTGCACTGTCTGCAAACTTTCTTCCCAACAGAACTTTAAACAAGCATATGTGCCTGCTGGGCAGTCAGCACAACCTCTTTTCACAGGCAGTGCACTGCTAGGAGCATTCCTTTAACTCAGAATGAAAGAATGGAGGAAGAGGACATGGCAAATTCATCCTGAGGCAAAAAGATTGTCTTCTTTGTCCCTTCAGCTGTTGCAGGCTGTTTGAATTGTCTGTGTCGCTCTGTCAGTCCTATGGTCATCTCCTCTTCCTGGCCTGTAACCCAATTTTAAGGCCATGGCATGGCTGCTGCAAGATGATCACAGAATCATAGAATTGTTTAGGTTGGAAAGGTCCTTTAAGATCATCAAGTGCAACCATTAACCTCACACTGCTATGTCTACCACTAAACCACATCCCTAAATGCCATATCTACACGACTTTTAAATATCTCCATGCAATCTCATTACTAATTTACTCACATTTATTATATAAAATTAAACATATCAATCAACATACCAAAGATTTACTAATTCTGTAACATCATTTGATTAAGAATATCTGAGGCACATGTCATTGTAGTACTATATAAATGAAAGCACACAGATGAAACTGAGGAAATTTTAAGACAAAAGTGAGTTCAACACCTAAAACTTATGGGATGTCATTTATGTAGACTTCTACTACTTTTACTACTGTAGGTAAATCAGAAAAACTCCAGCTGCTTATGGGCTTCTATATGCAAGCCCAAAAGTTTCTTCCAAAACACTACAGTTTTATTCAGCATCAAACACAAAATGGAGCTGGCAGGCTCAATAAATGTAAGTGGCAATTTGGTAGTTAATAAATAGCATAAATTGAAAAGAAGGGCTGAAAACTACAAGGAAAAGGAAGAAAGTTAGGGTCCTCTCTGGCCACCAGGCCAGGTGAGTCCCTGTTGTAACTCAGAGACAGCCTTGCTCTCTTCCTTTAACACCATTAGCCTCAGAAACAGCCAGGGTGAATCCAGCAGCTGCCCATCCCTAAGAGAGGTGCTTTCCTCACCCCTGAGGAGAGGATGCACCCAAACTGAATTCCCTCCAGTGTATGTTCCCTGCATGTGTAGCAGACCTCCCCCCTTGTACCCCCAGGGTACAGCAGACATGGCAGAAGCATGCAACTATTGGCAGAAGGGAGCAACTATTCATAAACTCCATACATTGAGTTATCAAATAATTCCCTGTATTTGATTCAGAACTTTTTCCTCCAGTTTTACCCAACTTGGTTTTTAATCCATGTTACATAGGATTTTTGAATACATAACATAGGGAACATTAAATACATAGGAAAGATGAGGAAGTACTTCAGGTTGGACCGGCCTTTATAGAGAGTTTATTAAAAAAACCAGCAGAAACACACAAGTACTAAACATGGACTCAGCTTTAAATATATGAGCACTGGCTCCTGTAATCAGTAGTTGAAGTACATAAGCAGTCTGGTGGACTCTCAACTGGCTTCACAGGCCTTGAACACAAGCTTTAGATGCTGTAATTGATTGCAGCTATTAAGTACAGCACTTTGAAGAACTAAATAAGCATTTTGTAGTGCAAAGCCCACTAAGCTTTTTTCAGAGATGACTTAATTCAAGCAGGGTCTAGAACAAATTCAGATTACTGAAATTATATGTCAACTATTTAAGTATATTTTTAACCTATAACCATTTAACCTCATTAATACTATCAAAAGAATAAATGAAAACATTATTAGACAATATTTAACAAATTCTTAATTTTAGAGCTGAAAGGTACTGCAGTGTATGAGTTACATATTTTCTAGGCAGCACACCATCTCTTACTATCTTGGTATAAATAGATTTTGGATGATTTTCTTATCCTCTATCTTACAGGCTGTGTTCTGCCTACCAAATCTGAGCAAGTCCTCCTTTTCTCCCATATCAGAAATGCAAATGTATTCCAATACTTTGAAATTATTACTTTCTTCACTGTCAGTCTGATCTGCATCAAAATTACACTTCTAAATAAAATAGTCTTCAATTTTTTTTACTGTCTTACTTTTAAAAGAATTCCAGTCCCACTAAAGCTTATCTCTAGTATGTATGAGTAACACTGTTATAGTTAGCTCAAACATACTGGGGGACAAAAAACAAGTGAAAAAATAATTTAATGACCAAGAATAGTACTTATGATCAGGAGTTATTTCAAATAAATTTATATACACACTCTAAGAATCACTTTATCCAATAGTATAGGCAAGTTTTTACAAGTATTTCCTTCTTTACTTGCTTTGAAGGGGTAAGCATTAAATGAGAAAGAAATTTTTGCTTATTTACTAGCTCAGCTTTCTCCTCTACACACTGTAAAAGCTCAGATGCAGAGATATATATTTCAATTGAATAATCAGACAGAAAATCCCCACAAGCTTTTCACAACTGAGCCATGTAACTCCTGTTGTTTCAGTGTAGCCAGGTAGATACACACAATTGAAGCACCACACACCTAATCTGCATCTTCTGAAAGTGCTTAAGTTTGAATAATGTCATAATATTTGCTTTTTCCCTGAAATACTGGTTTTTAGCACATTTCTTGCCTCTTATACTTTGCAAGGAACACCAAATGGACATATACAGTTAATTGTATTTTTGAAAGAAAAAGGCAAAAACATTTTAAAAACCACTGCAATTTAACTTATATAGCTGGAATATATTTTAGCAGTACAGCTTACTTAGTATATGTTTTTATATAAGAAAATATATACAGATACATAAAATAGATCTGTGCTGAGTCTTAATATGTTAGCATATTTTAGTATATTTCATATTACCATACATGAGGTACATACCCCATTATGTGTGTTTTTCAGATCCTGAACTTCATTAAAAAAACATTTATTAACAAGAAATTCCCTCTAATGATAAAAATTTAAAAGGCACAGTAATTACATCTGTATTTTGCTGCAGATGTCCAGCTTACTGTTAATTTTGATCATGCTGAGAACAGTTAATGCTGAAGAAAAATATACACATTTTCAGCTGCTTAAAACTAACCTCACTCTCATTTCATTTACATTGATGTTGATTCATGTCATCAGTGAAACAGTTATTCAACCAAAAATCAGAGGGGCATAGGATGAGGAGTCAATCTGTACCATTTCTGTGCAATAAATGTATCAGGCAGGTAAATTAAGGTCCTAGGGAAGACAGCAGATATTTTACCAGACCTGCTCCAAACTGATAAATGCACTTAGATACAAAAGAGGGAAGAGTGTGAATTTAGGTGCTCTCTCAGAGAGACAAGCACTTTCCCAATAAACACTACCTGGAAAGCTGTTGAAATCCTGACCAAATGCTGGTACAGCCTGTTTATTAGCAACATAAAAGTGAAAAAGGAAGATTAGTATGTGATGTCAGGTTGTGGGGACTGCTTTTCTCAGAGGCATGCCCTTGCTCAAAAGCCCAGAGCCATCAGGCCATGTCTGCTCTGTGATGCAGCATGCAGTAGGTTGGCTGGTACCATATGAAGTGTTTAAGGACATTAGTGTGAAGAGCAACCTTGCACTTATTTAATTCATTACAGCAATCAAATGCAGTGTTTATAAGTAATTTTACAATAAATTAAAATCCATTTTTAGAGGACAGAGTAAAGATGCAATTAATAATGCATTAAAAATATTTTCAGACAATATATTTTCTCTTTAACCCTCACTCTTCTATAAATATCTACACTTGAAAAGAGGATTAGCCTTTCTTTTCAAGTATCATTGGCCTGGCTTAAAAGTTGCCACAAGAGAATTCACAGTCTAGGTAATAGCCAAGCTCTTGAGTGTAATAAAATGTAAAATATAAAATTAGTTACTCCATGAAATACAGTAGTACATTCCTATATTTGGCACTTCTTCTATAGTATCAATTCACACGGTGTTATAACTGCCAGGAAAAAAATTACCTCATTTTAAGAGGCAAAATATGTGACAAATAAAATGCTTTAATTTATAAAACCATTGATAAGGAAATCAAGCTGAGCAGACAGGAGGTAGGTGCTTTAAATACAATTCATGTAGTTTTGGATTACAAATATAATTGTATTATAAATGATCTTCCAGGGAAGAAACTAGAAATAACAGAAGTCCTGGAGTTACTCAGAGCTCAAAGCAGGAGTCAAAGGGTGGACAAAGCAACTTGAAAATTATTCAGCACTTAAAACCTATAGTAGGTACATGTATATGGGAGTGACTTATACAGGAGTCTGAGCTGATGGTGAACTATTCCTCAAACTCTGGGTAAGTTGTCAGGCAGCAACATGAGCTGCAGCTCCCCCAGCCTGGGTACACCCAGAGTGGCTGGTTTCACCTTAGCTGAGGTACCTTCCCACAGGTCAGAGTAACACTGCAGTCAGTGTCCAACCTCAACACCAGCAACATGTCTCACTGACAGAAACACTGGCTCCAACTTCTTAAATTCTGTTAGAAAAGCAAACAACAAACTCCCAGGTACATTAACAACAGAAAACACCTACACAAAATAAAAACCCAAACTACTAAATAAAATTCAAGCACACAAATGGAAAAAACACACGCAGGTCCTTTCTAGAGTCAGGTCAGTAAGAATATACACTCATTACATTTGGCTTCTCTTTGAAAAAAATAGTTAAAACCAATCCAAAAACACATCCAAATTTCTCATTCTTATATATTACAAAACTAAATGTTTTCTACATGTGCAAAGTGTCCAGTTCTTCACATTCACAAGAAAATGCCTAAGACATTTTTCTAAGCCACATGCATAACAATGGGTTTGGTTCAACCAGACTCCAGTCATCCAAGAAGACATTTATATGCCCTCTTACACTACCATCAGACAGAGGAGTTTATAGTCTGAGAAGATAAGTTACGTATCAAGGGTAATCTGACATCTCCCATGTACCACAGCACAAGCAGAAGAAACCTGGGGAAGTTTAAACTCTTGGAACTTCTCAGGCCTGGGAAGTTTAACTATCCGATGCTCTGGTGCATGCTGCCGATGTCTCTGCCAGAGAGGCTCTGCTAACAATCTCCAAGAGCAGGGTCACAAGAGATTGCAAATGCAGCAGTTTTCATAGTCTTTAGACAGATGGATTTGTAAACTATATGAGACAGTGTGATCAAATGGCTATATTGGAAGCATAAATCTACTTCCAGTCCTGTCCTATTGTATTTGTGTAAATCAAGAAGCAGGAAAATAAATCTGGTGTGGAAAACTTAATATTTTGAGGTTTATTAGCAGATATCAGGTGTTTCAAACTGGTTCTCGGGTTTATTGACAAGCCTTTCTATAA